TATAAAGAAAAATCTTTGTCCATGACCTTTTGGGATAAACTGTGCGCCCTGCCCCAAGAGAAAACATTCGGTACGTCTTCTTTACTAAATGTCTGCCTAATTCCTGTTACAGGTACCTTAGGGTCTAGTGTTCAAATACTACGCGGTTGTAGCTCTCTGGCAGCTATTGCCAATTTACTCATGAAAAAAGGCCTTGCTTGGCACATATTTATGTTCCTGTAATTGTTTCAGCATTCTGCCTTGCTCATAATCTGCAGAGAAGGAGTACACATTTTGGTCGCTTCTGCCTTCCATGTTTGGGCAGCAGTTTTTTAAAAAGCTGCTTGTGTAATTGGCTCACATATAGTCCAGGCACTTTTCCACTGAATCAGTACAAGAGTTGTCTCCATTTTCAGCACAGATAAACGAGGGGTAGATATGAACACAGAGACGAAACCTGCCCTGTGTTCTGAGGCAAGAGTGGCACGGCACATAGGTGCATTTCTGAGCCACGTGTGTTGGAACCGGGTAACAAGCACTACAGAAACAAACTTGTAAGCATTCTCAGGTAGACTGAGCTTAGTGAGAACAATTTCTGAAGAGGGAAAGCAAGCTATGAAAACATCATCCATCTTAAGTTTTATAAGCTTAAAGCTGCACTAAGCAGAAAGAAACAGGACAATCTAAGGAAACAGCTGCCTTCTGAAACATATTGAATAGGCACGGTGCCAAAAAGAGAACGTGCTGTGTACTACATGCTTGTTAACAATATATAACAATAAGGGAATTTTTTCTGCAGTATCAATGCTAAAAGAAGGGCAAAGAGGCATGAAAAAAGTTAAAAATCAAGTTTGAAAATGCAATAAAATGTGTGATTTGGACAATGCAATAACGAGGGAAATTCTGCCATTAATTATTTAAAAGTAAATATCTGAAGATTAGAAAAGAGAAAAGCTCCTGGTGAGTGGTGTGAAATGGAAACAACCTTTATAAACCAACACAGGGAAAACAGACCTCACTCTCAACTATCAACAGTCATTTTACAGAGACAATTAATTCACACCTTGCAAGAAACACAAGTGATTTACCTTGAAAAGTAAAAATTGAGAACCTCACTTTTCTGTTGAAATTTTTTACTTTTTCACTTTCCCTTTTCAGTTTAGCTACACACTGCCACTGATGTGCTCATCCAGCGAAAAAGAAATCATTCATTATACCTTATCTACATGCACGATGTAAGAAAATCAAAGCAACTCAGAACTAGCTGAGATTTTTTCCTTATTCCTGCCATATTGTACATATTGTCTGTACCTGTAAAGCCCAATATTAGCATAAATGCACATGCAACTATTTTCCTCTGTCTCATTTCAAATGTTCTTTTCTATCATTATTTTTAATAATACTAAACACCTAACTGAACAACCACAAATACTTTCACACTCCTTATTTTTAGGTACTCAATTTAGATCTTAAGTTTAGAGGCCAGACTCCTCCATTATAGTTAGTTAAGAGTGAGATGGTTCCTCTAGAGAGTGAATCATGGCAGGAGCCCTGCACTACTGCGTGCTGAATTATCTTCTGAGGAAACTCCTCTCCCCTTACTACGAAGGCAGTTTCGCAATTTCAGCACCTAGGTGCTGTATTACATACTCTAAAGTTACCGCAACAGTAGCGAATCAAAAGAAGAGAAAAGACCTCCCCTGCAACAACCCAAACTCTAAATCTTCTCTTGTTAAGCTATATTAAAAAAAAAAAGCCATGTATGAAGCTAAAAACGGGGCCACACATTTCCCTTTTTAGATTCAGTCCTATATACTGTCAGATCCTACAATCTGACGTGAATGAGCTTTACAGGGTAATTCCAAATGCAAAATTAATTAGGGTGAACGATCTTCAAGTTTTTTCCCTCAGATTAGATTATGATTGAGTAACCATATTACAGGTAATAGCTGAGTGCAGAGAATCGCTGGGCAATTCTGCATCCACATTGGTTCTATTTTCATTCATGCTAACATTACTTCTCTGGGCACGAGGGAGGCTCACTCAAGATTTATACTGTTGTGCTAAATCGATTTATTTTGCTCATCACCAAGTATCAAACTTTGGATTTCTGTGTGTGGATGTGGTCAGGTTACCAGGCAATATCATACGTTATTTTATTGGTTACTTAACAGTTTTGTTCTGGTTGCTACAACTTTTTTTCTTATTAGTACATAATATATGGTTTAAATAATAATATGCATGTCAACTTTATTCCTCTCTGCAACTAAATGTGCTTTCCATATAGTACTTTGACTTTAAAGCTGTGTTGGTGGAACTAAACCGCAGAGAAGAAACAGGCAACCAGAGAATATGGAAAACTCCGATTCCATCCAAGAGTCCTGATTCATGCTTGAAATGCCACTGCAATGGAAGGAACTGAATATACGGTATTACAAAATGCACTGTAGTATTAAATTACCAAAATAAAACATATTTATGTATCGCAGTTTTAAGCATTAATACAGGCAGACAGTTCAAAGAAAGGAATGACCTACTATACCAGGCATGTTTGTCTCTTGTTGCTAGTAATTTAAAATCTGATTTTTTAAAAAACATTGTCTATAGGGATTGGAAAAATCCTTTAAGAGCTTTTAATTGTTTGTTATGTTGCAATATTAGCTATATTATATTAACAGTCTTCTAAACTGTTCTGTTTTCAGAAAAGCACTAATGAGGTCACAGGAAATTAAACTTTCGTCTGGATATAAACATGCCTTAGCCATGTAGGTGTGGAATACAGTAGAAAAACTGAGTAGTAATACAAGTTAAATTAATTTTTCACCTCTTAAGCCAACAAGCAAAATTAAACAGCATCAGTGTGAAAAAAAATGTATTTATAAAATTATTTCAGTTTTAATAGCGATTGTGGGTGTTTGTACACCAGATAAGAGGCTGTTAGGCTTGATTCCACACAGCGACCTCTGCTCAGGAGTGTTTGCTAGTCCTTGAGTCAAAGAACCTGGGACCTATTGCAAATGACAAGCTGTACAGGGATGTCACATCTGCCTTCAGCTTTAAGACAACATTATGGTGCTGTAGAAAACCTAATCCTCTGTTTTTAAGGTTTTTTTACTGTGCCCTGTGTCTTTTAGAATATAGCTGCCTCTCAATTTCCGTGACATAATTAGGTATTAGCTTTCAAAATTCATTCTCCTAAAATAAAATGTTCTTTGACTGCGAACAGAATTTCCAGGACAGGCATTCTTCATTCCTTTGTGATGGAAAAGTCTTTAGCATACCGCGGGCACTACTGGAACAAACTGTTAATCACAAGCTATAGTCCTGTTTAAATAGTAAAACATAATAAATGCAAGGTGATAGTCCCCCCCGCCCTTCATTTGCCCTTCATGGTGCTCTATGAGAACAAATAGGGCATTATTTTTAGACATTTGCTTCTCCAGAAGGAAGGCAGTGGAGGAGCTGCTGAGCACCAGCACGAAGGCGAGGAAGGCAGCGGCCAGCGTTCCCAAGCGACGACCAAGCTGGTTCCTTCTGAGCCTCGAGTCGGCAGCAGTGCTGCTTCCTTGAGCCCTCTTATTAAATAAAACTGACTTTTGGAAATTACAGGGCGTGGCTCAAAGGCACAGGTTTTCCATTCTCAAGTACAAATTCTTCAAAGTAAAGACACTTTAGGAGGACACAATTTACAGCGGAGAGCCTCCTTACTCTGCTAGATTAACTGCAGCCACAGCAACCTTTCCCAAGTCCTATCTGAGGAGCAAGTGTGAAGTGAACTTCTCTATTTACATTTTGTATACTCTGGCTCAATTAAAGTGATGGTACCCATGCAGGAATTGGTGAAATTCTACAGTCTGTTTGAAAACAGGTCCAAAAAATGCTCATAGGGGTCTTACAACTCACGAATTTGCAGCTGAAAAGAGCAGCCATCTCCTGCCACCTCCCCAAGAAATATCACTTCTGTCCTCTAACTTGCTTCACGCACATGTGCCAGTCAGGATGCCCCGACCGCACAGTGAAGGATTTGGGCCTAAAATGCAGTTACCAAGGCGGTGGTGTGTTACGGCAAGACGTCACTGTGGGCTTTAATTCAGCCTGGTTACACAACTTAACTAAGTTGTGAATTACAAGTCAGGTTAATAAGATCTTTGCTTTTACAAAGCAAACATAATTCTGAGTTTTCAAAAAGGTAGGAGGGGAAGCAGTGTGAAAGGGAAGGAGAAATCCAGGCAAACTACCTTTTGTTTTAGTCATGTAAAACTAAACTCCGCTTCAAAAACTGTTCATTTCAGTCTCTTAATTTTTTGGCAAGTATTGATGCTATCAGAGGGTCTGAGCATGGTTTATCCATGCTATATAGACCTTGAGCCAGCTCGGTTGCGTCTATCTAAGGTAACCCCCT